TAACTTTGGAGTGGGACTGTGTTTCTGTAATTCATGTGGCCACACCCTCTGCGGTGCTGTCATGATCTTCAAAAGGCCAATACAATCTCATTATTATCCCTATTCTTCCAATAGGAAATTAAAGCATAGAAGTTAAATATCTCATCCATCCTTAATGGAGTAAGAGGTAGTAGTGATTAAAACCTAAGAACAGTGAATTGATCCCAGACATCTCTAACACCAAAGCAACTGCTCTTCACCTAAAATTTTATGATCCACAGGAGAGAGTCCAAAGGACTCAAGCTTGAAGCATGCTGGAGGAGCTGAAGTTCAAGTGTGACAGGGAAGCTCGTGTTCTGTGACGGTAGGGGTGATTATCCAGGGTTTGAGGCAGGTTTCAGTGCTTCCATCTCAACGTTAAGAGCTGCACATGTGGATTTAAGGTAGAGCCCAATCCAGGAGATAAATTAGGGCACCAGAAAGAAAATAAGTCATGTGCCACAGCCTGCATCAGCAGGAAGGTGGGGGACCCTGGCAATTCAAGGGGCAAGGGCTTACTCAGCACATCGAGTTCCCGATGGGATGGGAAACAGTTGGCATAGAAGGAAATAAATTGCTGGCATCTTTTGTTCTCCAACAACCTTTACAAGTAGGGGACATCCCGAATGCAGCAAACTCAGTCAGGCAAGCTCATCCACCCCAGCCCGGTCACAGGACATCTCACACACATTTCCGACTGCCACCAACTATGCCCGCGAGGTTCCCCTTTCTCAAGGCGTGAGATTTTTCAATCCTATATGAAAGTCACCTCTTATTCTTTTTCTCATATAGAAAGTATTGGTTATTAAATATATTATCAATATCATTTTTAAAATATAACTATTATAAAGCATTTTATATGATATGTTTAACACCAGGAAGCATCCATCTCAAAAGAAGCACCTACTATTTCTTATCTTTGGGGATCTGTCCTCTTCAGCACTGACATGCAGCATGCATACCTTGGAAATGTATACGGGGATTTTATTTAAACATAATAGTTGTGTGCAAAGAAGCACAATAATTTCAGGCAATAAGAACTGCCAAACAATTCTATATAGAATGTTATAATTATTGTTTATTTATTTTTTTAAGAGACGGGGTCTTACTCTGTTGCCCAGGCTGGAGTGGTGCAGTGGCGCAATAATAGCTCACTGTAGCCTCTAATTCCTGGACTCGTGTGATACTTCTGCCTCAGTCTCCAGAATAGCTGAAACTATGGACTCACACCACCATGTCTGGATAATTTTTTTTTTAATTTTTCATAGAGATGAGATCTTGCTATGTTGCCCAGGCTGGTCTCAAACTCCTGGCCTCAACCAATCCTCCCACCTTGGCCTCCCAGAGTGCTGGGATTACAGACATGAGCCAGCATGCCCAGCCATAATTATTCTTATTAGAGGTCTATCCAAGAATGGGAGTTATCTCTGTCAATTAACCAAGTAAGCTAATTTCTCTACAGATGGATGCTTGATTTTAAAAGCAAATTTTACAGCTATGGGGAAAACATGGCTTAACTAGCATTTAGAGTAGAAGTGTTCAGTTGTAGTTAAAAAATAATAGACCACGGGAAAATATAGAGAAATATTCTACTTTTTAGCAACGGGAAATATTCTGATCTTCCAGAATAGATGAGAGAAAACACAGTCGTTGTCAGCTCTGGAAGCAATCTTCTATGTAATTAAATAAATGTATGTATACATGTTTACACTCGCACATATAAATATTTTATTTTTGTTGTGGAAATAATTTTATTTACTATTGTATTATTTTACCTATATACACAAGTATTCCATTTCCAAGGTTTCCCAAGTACATGAAAATAAAAATGTTCATTTGGATTAAACTGCAACCTCAGGAACAGTTCTACAAGATGTAGCTTCTTTATGTTCTGTCCTAAGAGTGCATTTGGACTATCAAACAGCACACTACTACCTATTTGAACTATACATTAAAAATAGTAAATATCAACGTATACTTAACTTTAAGTTGTCCATTAAAATTCAAACTATACTGAAACTCCAACAATAAAAATATCATTCAAAAGAAGAGAGATATTTGATTCCATTATATCACCAGTATTAGCAGCGATTGGTTTTTGTTTGTGTTGTTTACAGCTAAGTTTGTGTTACATTACACTTCTCTGAGCCATGAAATCTTTCAGGTTCAAATTAAAATGGATCTTCCCAGTGCAAAGGAAGTAAATCATTTGTTCTTGAAAATGATTTAAACAGTCCTCTGATGCAACATTTAATTAAAAAGAAGTCATTTACTCAATGGTACTTGTATTAATTTCCTAGGGTGGCCATAAGAAAGTATCAGAAACTGAGCAGCTTTAAAAGGACAGAGATTGATTCTCTCAGGGCTCTGGCTAGAACTGAGGCTAGGAGGTGTTTAAAGTAAGGTATCAGCGGACAGGGCCGTGCTCCCTCCATGGGCTTTAGAAAAGAATCCTCTACGCCTCACTTCCTGGTTTCTGGTGGTTGCTGGGAGCCCTTGACATTCCTCGGTTCTGTAGTTGCACCACTCCAGTTCTGCTTCTGTCTCCATATGGTCTTCTCTCTGTCTCCTCTGTGTCTCTGGGTATCCCCAAATCTCACTCTCCTTATGAGGACATCAGTCATTGGATGTAGGGCCCACGCTAATCTAGTGTAACCTCGTCTTAACTTGATGACATCTGAAAAGACTCTGTGTTCAAATAAGGTCACATTTGTAACTATCTGGGTTAGGACTGAAACACATCCTTTTGGAGGGCACAAGTCAACCCACAGCAGCACTCATGTAGCAAAATTAAATTAGTGTACCTCAAAAAATGTAAATTTGTCTTCCTCCCTACTACCACAAATAGAATCACTGTTTAACGGGAGCCTTTTCCCGATTCTCTTCCCTCATTTCTGGGGCCCACGTCATTTTCATGGTATTACCCATGGCACTTCTCATCCCACTGATGGAAAATAAACGGGTAGTTCCTCATTTTCTTTCTGTCCATTCTTTGGCTTCAAGTTAAGAAGTCACTATATCCGTGCATCTAGGATACTAGGATATTTGTTTGCTGGTTTAGTTTATTTATATCTGACCTGCTAATCTGACTCAATGCCCATCCCAAACCTGATCAAACTACTATAAGGAATGTTTCCGTACTAGAAACTATAGCCTTTAATAAATCAATCAGAATTGGATGTTCCTTTGTGAAAACTTCATGTAATCAATAGGGGAAAAAAGAAAAAACTAAATAAAAAAGAAAAATGTAATCAAGTAGGTTGACAACCAGCAAAAGATAATTAAAACGGTCCTGTTTTGTTTCTCAGTTTCATTAACATGCAAATGAGATTCATGAAGTCTGATATTGTGTTTTTACCAAGAGCCATAGAAATGAATTAAGAATGAAAATGAGTCCCAGTGATGGGGACTCTTGATGAATATATAAATTAATGAAAAATATGATTTGATCCACTTAATGACATATTTTTGTGATTTATTGAACCTGAACAAACAAAATAAATAGGTAAATTAAATATTGTGTCTCTTTCAGCGGACTACATTCTGTGAAATCTTTTATTACTCAAATGAAGTGATGGTACATGTTAAAATCTGCTTTACTTTAAAAAGAAATACAGGATGGAAAATTTATTCTAAGATCAGTGCGTGATAACAGCATTCCTGCAGGTAGGGCCATGGCTGCAGGATCTTGAAATGGCCCTCAGAGAGGCTAGGAGAGCCCAATTGTCTGATCCATCAGAGATTCAGAATTGCAAACAGGGAGAGATGGTCCTGTGTGACCAATAGTTCTCACTACAAGGCACTTAAAAGGAACAAACAAGCATTATCTATACAAATATATTCTAGTGTCCTCCAATTTCCCATTTGATACAAGCATCTCAGTTCTTAGTCTCCATTAATGTCTTCGCACACATAAGTGGCCATCTCAAATAATACGAGTTGAAACTTTAAAATAAACAAAAGTATGTGAAGGTGTTACACAAATATCTACATTGTAGTTAGAACTACATATGACATATATATACACACAAACGCAATGTGTAACGGATAGCAAGATAGAGATACACACACTATTGGTCATGTCCAATGTTCATTGCGCTCAAACATTAAAACAACAGCACCAAGGACAGCATCAAGGAGTAAAATTGAAAGAAGTGGCTGACTAATGTGGCATGAAAGAAGAGGATAATAAGTGGGCGAAGCGTGGTTTTAATAATATATGTCAGTGTCTATTTTTTACAGTTGTTAAAAATGTTTTCTGTATTCATATTGCCAAGCTTCTTTTCCTCCCAAGGTATGTGCAGATAATTTTTACCTTAACACATTATAAAAAGTGATCACAATGATTCTCTAAGTACACAGTGTTTTGAAATTCTCTTATTTCTATCGCAGGTTGCTATTTAATTATCTTCACCATCCTTTAAACATATTCAAACACAACCTACCTAAGAGATGGCAAACAGTATGAACTGAGTATTCCTAAAAGAGCATTAGTGCCTTATTATGTTCCTATTCCTTGACAGGAAAGAAAATCATGTCCACCACATTGAGAATTAAATAAACTGAGGGATTATTATTTTTGAATAACAAGCATCTTTTAAAATTATTTCCTGCAAACTTCTTTGTTTAACTTGAAATAGAAGGCCAATTAAGTTTTCATCACTACTGCATCTATAACAATTGCATATTATTACAGAAAATTTGTATTATAAGGTATGTAAAAAGCCTGTCAGACTAAAGGAACTCAATTCTTTGGACTTTGAAATGATGACATAAGATTTTCAAATAGAATGTATCCCTTTGTCATTCCAGAACATAAGCTAGATGTTATTTACATCTCATGAATTTTAACCGTTTGCTTATTTAGAAATTTACTTCCTTTTACAAGGTATCACTTACATGATTTTATTAAAAGAGAATGGAAAATTAGTGAGATTTGTCATGAACCATTCGGGAACAAAAAAAAAAAAAAGCAGACTTACCATCTCTTCGATTTAGCCTTGCAAACCCAGGACCATGACTGCTAGAGAGCTCGGAAGAGCTGCTGAATGACGACTGAGGCAAGGCAGACACGAGAGGATCGTCACAATCATCTGCCAGAAGGAAAAATGCCACATTAGGGTTAGTGCGGGCAGGAATCAATAGACAAAACAATTAAACAAACAAACAAAACAATATCAAAAACTAGGATCTAGGATCTCTGAAAATATGCCCACTACTTATATGCAGTATTCTAAATTGCAAGTCTAGTAAGTTTAATAAGAAAAGAGAAAGAATTTAAAGAGAAGAGACTATGGAAATAGAAAAAGAAGACATCATAGAAGTTATAAAATGATATGATATCTTAAGGTAGAAAAAAGTTATTATACCTCATCATAAAAGAAGAGATTTATAAACTTAACTATATTAAAATTAAGAACTTATGATTTCCAAAGACACCACAAAGTAAAAAGAAAAATCACAAAATGTGGGAAGTACTCCCAAAACATATAAACGAGTGTACAATTAGTATAACAAGTAAAGAAAAACAAAACAAAATTAAAGAAAAATGAAAATGACCTTTAAATCAGAAAACACACTAGGAAAAAAATGGCACATGGTACAATCAGAGACTTCACAGCAGAGCCTATATAAATCGATGCTCGAACTTATCAGTAAAAAGAAATGTGAAACAGGACTGCAATGGGGTAATAATGTATACAGAGTAGATTAGCAAGATGTAAGAAGTTTGACAACATCAGATCACCCAGAGAATGTGGGCCAAGAGAAGCTCCAACACACTGCCAGTGGGCATATAAACTCATGCAATTACTTTAAAAAAAAACAGTTTGTCATTAGTTGTATATTTGAACTTTCTCATACCCCAGGTTCCACCAGTTTTATTGATACGTAGGTCCTCTTAGGCAAAGCTTCCCTGTGATAACTCACTGGTTTCAAGATTTGTCTTTCTACCAAAGGGTAATATGCAAATACTAGTATTCTTTGTGTCCATAAAAGAAAAAAGTACTGAGCTAGAGTAACTTGCATTTGTGCACCAGGAGACATTGCTCATAATGGCAAAAAATTGTTAACAACCCATACATTCAATGGCCAAAGAAAAGATAAATAAATTGCAGTACTTTTCACAACAGGATAATACACAACAGTACAAAGGAACCACAGCAACACAAAACAAAACGGTTGGCTCTTAGAAGCAAAATTTTTGAGAAAAAAATCAAGTTACAAAAGAGTATATAATATGTTTATAGTTTTCAGAATCTTAAGAAGCAAAGCTAAGTAATATTGTATGTTGTTTAGGGAGATATGTAAATTTAAAAAACTATTTTAAAAAAAGAAATGGAAATCATAAAATTCAGAATCATGGTTACCACTGAAGGAAGGCAGAATCAGGATAAGGAAAAGTACATAGTTTGATGTAATGAAATTGACAATGTTCAAATTCTTTAATAGGTGGTACAATCAAAGCTTTCCAAAAAAAAAAAGGTTTCCAGTTATCATTATGCTTCATATATAAAAATATATACTACTTAAAAAATGTTAATCTGAAGTATAAATTACCCTTCAAACATACACCCAAAAAAAAGGTTTCCAGTTAGAAAACTAAGTAGCTTTTTGAAACCACAAATTGCCTGCACATATAAAAATTGTTCAACAGCCCCATTTTTAATTATCTCAAATTATTCTGTGGTATTTGTAAAAGACATTTACATGTACATGCATAATGAAACACTTTCAGAAATCTGCTCTTACCAAACCCAAGTCTGTCTTATCATTAAAAAGATTTATTTAAAAAATAAGTATTAATTCTGAAATAAGTAGAAATAATTATCAAACATACGTGCTGAATATTTTATTGTTTTTCTCTAACATAAACTGCAACATATTTTAGTTAT